GTGTGCGTGCACATGTGCGTGTACCTGTGTGTGTGTACGTGTGCACGTGTGTACATGTGTGTGTGCACGTGTGCGTGTACATGTGTGTGCACGTGTGTGTACGTGTGTGTGTACGTGTGTGTGCACGTGTGCATGTACATGTGTTGCACGTGTGTGTACGTGTGTGCGTGTACATGTGTGTGTGCACGTGTGCGTGTACGTGTGTGTGTACGTGTGTGTGCACGTGTGTGTGTGCACGTGTGCGTGCACATGGTTGTGCTGGTGCCACAGGAAGTTACAGGGTATTGGAGAAGCACATAAACACCAGAAAATCAAAGCTACAAAAATGAAACTCAGTTCTAATAAGCCAGTGGTTCTTAAACTGTGGTGTGAACAAAATCCCCTGGCACTTACTAAAAAGGATAGAGGTCCCAGCTAATTGAAGTAGGATGGGGCCTCCGCCCTGAATGGTTATCAATTTCTCCAGGTGATTGTGATACGACCAAAAATGCAGAATCTCTGTGCCACAAAAGTGCTCGCAGATGAAGCCCATTCCCCTTGACCTAGCTAAGGCAGCCACTGGCAAAGAAGGAACCTACTGCTAGACTAGTATTCAGATAGACATTTGCTTATTCCCAGTTCTGCCAGTTATTTGTTCCATGATTTGGGCAAGGGTTCCCCCTGCCTTTCTGACCTCAGTTTTCTCACCTGTAAAATAGGCACAAGGATAAACAGGAGAACCTCATCACGCCTGGCCTGAAGAAAAGCACTTGCTGAAAGCTGCTGGAATCTGCGACTTTTTTGGTTTATTTTTGAGGGCTCTGTCTTGGTTCTACCCCACAACCAGGGAACTGATTTCAGTAAAAAGGCTCAGCCATGTCACCTAGCATGGCTTGGCTTCTGCTGGTTCAGAGCCTCACCCAGTGTCAAAATGGCAACCCTAATATGGTGACCTTCATAACACAGGGTTTGCCAGTGCAGAGTCCCCTGCACTTTGGACAATGTCTTGGGGGCATTTTTGGTTGTCACACCTTGGGGCTTGGTGCTACTGGCATCTAGTGAGTAGAGGCCAGGGATGCTGCCAAACACCCTACAGTGCATGGGACAGCCCCCACCACAAAGGCTTTTCTCACCCCAGATATCAGCAGTGCTGAAGATGGCAGACTCTGCTCTGGGGCAGGGCCAGGCACCGTTACTGTATTAAAAGCTCCCCTTCCTCCACCAGGCTTGAGAACCCCTGCTCTCTCCAGTCGTGCTCCTGACAGCTTCTCTACCCTCACCTTCTCCCCTTTGCCCTCACCTGCCACCATCACAGTCTTTTTTCTGGAATCTGCAGTTTTACAACTTTCCTCTCCTATGACTCTGGTGCAGGAAGGTCCAGGTACACCATCTTTGAGATGCTCTGTTCCAGACCTGTTCCCAGCTGCTTCTCAAACACAGCTCATTATCAGACAAGCAAAGAATACTGTCAGAGTCGGCAGGACACTGCAACAAACATCTGCTTCCACCTGCTCATTTTACAGAAGGAGAAACTGAGGCCTGTGAAACCCTAGATAGCAAGGTAGAAGGGTGAGAGACACTTTCACTCAACTCTATTGGCTCTCAGATTTCACTTGGAGTTTTTCACATGAGTGATTGTACAGACTGTCAATAGCTTTGCAATAATCCCATAATGACCCAATTGTGAAACAATTTAGCAATCCTACTGCTAATAGCATTTGTGGCTCTAGCAATTGGGTAACTAGTTGGTTATTACTCATTCCCCAAGAGCCACACATATTGCATTGCAAGGAAGCTAATCTTAGAAATACTTGTTAACTTCGATGATAATTACTAAGTAATTGGCTAGAATGTGCCATGGTGAATTGATCCAGAATATGCCAGGTAATTATCTGGTCTTATGTTCCCTGTAAAATAAATCTAGGGTCCAAAAATGGTTCCAGTTGGTTGGCTATCGTCCAGCCATCAACCTCTGCCAGCCAATCGTGCAAATGCAAGTGATTAATCAAATTACTCAAATATTTGGTTTCAAACTGAACGTGCAGATAAGAAACCTGGAGAGCCAACAAGTGGACAGTGCTGAACAGAGAGAGGGATGCACAGAGGCCCTCCCGAAGATAAATATATAACAACACAATAATATGGAATCAATGCCACTTCTCTGGGGCTCATCTGGCATCCTCACACAAAATACCAAAACACTTCAGAGACCAATTACACGTCCCAAAGCTGCAGAGTCTTTATCGTGGTGCCAGGAAAAGGCTGGGCTATTTGTGAAATCTGTAGGCAGTTATGGCGCTTGGGGAGGGGGGCTCAGAATTTTGTACATAATAGAAGAGGGCCGCAAATGCAGCTGGCTTGCAGGATGAGCAACACATTTTCATAATGACCACTCGTTTTTCAAGGATGGCTGCTGAGTTTGTCTATTTCCAACTTGCTAGCCTTTGAGAAGGGGGTGAGGGAGGCATGGCGATTAGGCTCCATAGATAATGCTGAACCGGGAGGCAGGAGGGTGGTGAGGAGCTGACCAGAGAGAAAGACGGGGTAAGAGCTTAAGATGGGAGCAATGGAGAGAAGGCCAGGGGTGGGGAAAAGACCACCCTTCAACCAGACTTGTGTATCCCAAGTAATAGGCTACTGACTGCTGCTAAAAGATGAGGATATATACTGGGTAAGAAAGGGAAGGAAAGGGAGGTAAGGGTCTCTCTGTAGTAGTTTGCAAAAATAGCCACAGATTGTCCCCAACCTGCAGCCACATCCTTGCAGCAGGACATTGCAGATCTTCCCATTCAGAAGTAGAGTCTGTGTCTCCATGCCTTGAATCTAAGGGAGAATAGGAGTTTCTTTGGCCAACAGATGTAGGTCTTGACCTCTCGCTGCACTTGGAAACCTAGGACTGCCATGAGAATGAGCCTGAGCTAGGCTGTTGGGGATATCCCCTGACAGTCTGCCAACCAGCAGACACACAAAGGAGGGCATCTAAGACTGACTATCCCCTTGTTGACCCAGAGCTGACCACAGCCAACTACAAGAGCCCAGCTACTCAGTCTGGCTAAGCCCAGAACTGTCCATAGGATACAGAGAAACCACCAAGTTGTGGAGTAGTTACTCAGCAAAAGCTTACACTCAGAACAGCTCAGCCCCTGAAGATTCCTGGGCTGATTTCTTCAGAGCCACTTCTCTGCCTTGTGCAGCGTTGAGAACCACCAGTTTTATCCTGATTTAAGGAGGCTTGGAGGCCCATCCCTAGATCCCCAATCTTTCACCAGCGCTTATCATTCAAAGCACGAGTCACTCCGGTCAACCCACCATCCGCATCATCTACGGATACAGAATATAATGCACCTTCTAACAATCACCAAGTTCTTATAAGTGGACTCAAGGAGGTTTTGTCTCACAAGGGAGGAGATCAAAGACACACCAGCTGTTCTCTGAGCCCACAGCATCTGCTCTGGGCCTGCTAACATGCAAGACTTGTGCATTTGGGGTCTCACTGCTTGAGTTGAGTAGAGGAAGGAGAGAGCTCCTAACGGGCCCTTGGCATCACAGGTCATACTAAGAATGCCACTGCAGAGTCCAGTCCTAATGTTACAGGGGAGCCAGTGCCAGAGTTTGAAAACAAACCAAAGGATGGTTTCACAACTGTTTCATCAAAACCAAAGCTATTTTTTCCCCCAGTGCCTCACGCCTCTGGGAGAGGCCAGAGAGCAAATCTGAGAAAGTTCAAGAAACATTTTCACAATGTTAGTTCTCTATGAACTGTCCCTTTTCTGTACCCAAAGACCACAGATCCTGGATATTCCAAACCACAATGGTAAAGACTGCAAATGTGCTCTGCAACTTTCATGAAAACCAGAATAATAGTTACCAGAATCTTGGCTCATGCTTGTCATCCCACCACTTTGAGAGGCAAAGGCGGGCAGATCACCTGAGGTCAGGAGTTCAAGACCAGCCTGACCAACATGGCAAAACCCTGTCTCTACTAAAATACTAAATTAGCCGGGCATGATGGTGCATGCCTGTCATCTCAGCTACTCAGGAGGCTGAGGCAGGAGAATCGCTTGAACACAGGAGGTGGAGGTTGCAGTGAGCCGAGATCGCGCCATTGCACGCCAGCCTGGGCAAGAAGAGTGAAACTCCGTCTCAAAAAGAAAAATAATCTTAATCGGGGGTCTGCAGACTATGGTCCATGGGCCAAATACAGCCCACTCCCTGGGTTTGTAAATGAACTTTTATTGGAACACAGCTCTGCAATTTCATTTGCAGATTGTCTATAGCCGCTTTCAGACTACAGTGGCTGAGCAGAGTAGCTGCTACAGAAACTGTACAACCCACAAAGCTGAAAATATTTACTACTGGGCCCCTTACAGGAAAAGCTGGCTGACTCCTGATTTAGTCGAATATACTCATTTCACATATGGAGAAAGTGACTCTTTGAGAAGCTGTTACACAAATACTTGGAATACAGGGGGAGCAAGACCCGATGTTTCTGATTCTCCATTTAGTATCTTTGGTTTTGCTAAAGAGTTTTAGCATTAAAAGTATTTTCTGGGTTTAGGCATGGTAGCTTACAGGCCTGTAATTCCGGCACTTGGGAGGCCAAGGCAGGAGGACTGCTTGAGGCCAGAAGTTTGAGACCATCCTGGGCAACATAGCGAGACCTCATCTCTACCAAAAAATTAAAAAATGAGCCAGGTGTGATGGCACACATGTGTAGTGCCAGCTACTTGGGAGGCTGAAATGAAAGGATCTCTGGAGTCCAGGAGTTCAAGGCTGCAGTGAGCTATGATCATACCACTGCATTTAAGCCTGGGCAACAGAGGGAGACCCTGTCTCTAAAAAAACAAGTAAATAAATTAAGTATTTTCTGGAATCTTAAGTCTTAAACCATGTAAGTAAACTGTACATGGTAGAACTGGAGATGGTCTATTAACCAGAGCGGTCAAGTAGAAAACCAATTCTCAACCATGCCAGAAGCAGAGTTTTGACAATCTCTGGGTGGGAGCCCAGGTGGAACTGACCTGGTGATGATGGCCAGGTGAGGCGGGCTCATGCAGGCGCCCATGAAAAGCACCACGTTCTCGTGCCGCGTTTGCCTGTAGGCCATCACCTCCCGCTTGAAGGCCTTGAGCTGGTCCTCGTTGTCCCTCTCAATGTCAATCAGCCGGATGGCCACCTCGCCGTGCCAGCGGCCATGGTACACTTGCCCAAAGCGACCCTTTCCAATCAGTTCACCGATCTCCAGCTGCTCAAAGGGGATGTCCCACTCCTGAAGGAAGATGCTGGTCTGGCTGGCTTTGCGTGGGAAGCTCCGGGCCGAGAGGAGGGACAGATTCATCTCCTCGAAGTCATCCTCTGACTCCTCGGCCTCATCGTGGACCTCTTCATTCTGTGGCCGGAGTGGGAGAGAGGTCAGAATTGGGTTTGCCACTGCCCCAGCCTCCCTCATGGTCCTGCTGGGTCCCGTGTGCATGCGTAGGTCTGGACACATCTCTACATGCATCTGGAGCTGGTGCAGACACACGTCCCTCTGTTTCCCCAGGTCTAGAATCTGGTCTAGAATCATACTACAGTGAAGGTGCTGAAAGGGAGATCATGATCATCCACCTCTCTTGTGCTAAATGGGGGGATACTGAGGCTCAGAGGGAAGTGTTATGGGGATCACCCATTCCAGTTTGCTGGAATCTTCCTGGTTTTAGCACCGAAAGTCCCATGTGTTGCCCTGGGAAGTGACTCACTCCAGGTCATGCAGCCAGGCAGAGGAGAGACTAAGATCCAGGTCTTTGGACTTGAGTATCGGATGCCCTTCCTATTCTTCCATAGTCTTTTGGTTTGGCTGTTTATGTGCATGTGATAAAGTTGACAGGCTAGACAGGCTAAAACAATGGGTACACCGTGCATCTGCAGGTAACACGTGACAACTGCCAACATGGAGTAGCTTTTGCTTCCCCCAGGGAATCTGGAATTGATGATTCAAAAATTGGGAGAGCTCAGAGCTACAAGCTAGATGTTTGAGGCTCCTACAGCAGCTGGGAAGGTAGGAGACATGAGAGTGAGGGGTTGACAGAATGGGCTTAACAATCAGACAAAGCGAGCTGAAATCTCACCTCTGTGTGACCTTGAGCCAGTCGCTTTACTTCCCTGAGGCTGCCTTTCCTCATTGTAAAGTGGGGGTAAGAAAATCTGCCCCAGGAGCAGTGTGAGGTTTTAGATGAAGGCCTGTTAAGTTCTTAGTACAGAACTGACCACCTGTATTAAACACCCAGTGGGAGGCCTGAGAAAATGCAGATTCCTGGGCCCCACCCAGCACTATTGGATCAAAATATCAGCAGGCCAGGACCAGGAATCTGCATTTTTGCCATGCACACCCACACGACTCAGGCATACTTCGGCGTGACTACCACTAGAGTTAAATGCTCAAGGCGTAGGGACCTACCTTATCAGCATGATATCTAGGGGTGCTTTGGGGTGAATTGCCTCTTGGATTCTCCTGCAGAATTGTAGGAGCAGCAGGGGCCAGGGCCAGCAGGGATTCCCAGAGACCCTGGGACCTGATGAAACAGCCTGAGAAGGTGGCCTCTTGAGTGGGTACAGGTCTTCCTGACCCAGAACACCTGAGCAAGCTGCCCCCCTTGGCACACTCAGGAGAAACAATACAGGAGACATGAGTTTCTCCCAGGATCATATTTCAACAACCAAAATAGTCCCAGAAAAGAATATGATTTTCCTTGGAAGCCCCGACTCGATTCCCTTCAGTACAAGACACAGTGCAGTGGCAGAGCTGAGGGGCCAGGACTCCACGGTTTCCAGCCAGGGCATTTTATGTATTTCTGCAGCCGCTTAGGCAGGTGGGAAGAAGCCCCAGCGCATTCTCAACACTTCCAAGCCCGGCATCCCTGAGGCCCCCGCCTCCTCCCACATATTCTTTTGAAGGCAGCAGGGCACATCCTCCTTGGTAGTCACCCGGCCCTGAGCTGATCTTTCAACTAAGAATGCAAATCTCTTGACAATTTCCGCACAACTGGCTTTTCCATGATGCATGCCATATAATGGCCCATTAGGCTCAGTGCTAGGAGGGGCCACCGCTTGCTAAACGTCCCAGAGTTAGAACATCCATCAGTCAGGGCCACCACAGCCCCAATCTGACCCCAAGCCCTCTGCGTCATCCAAAACGTCAGTCGGCTTTGCCAAGTTCTGGGCAGCCCCTGGAAAAGGTCGCTACACTGCTCTCTGATTCTCACCTCCGACGTTGGCTCCACTTCAATTTGAAGTAATGGATTTCCTTCCAAGCTGTAAAGAAAGAAAAAGAAATGTGATCCCTAGGTGAAAAGGTAGGTCTGTATATTGAGTTTAGCTTTGTATGAAGAATCCCCAGATGGTAAGTCTTCACCACCAAGCCTTTATCTCACATTTCATTTCAACACGTGTCTGAAATAATCCATAACCTCGCCACACACACACACACACACACACACACGAAACACAGTGTGCCAGGACCTTGTTTTAAGTTGATTTTCCGGGCTGCTCAGGGCTCATTTTTATTTATTGCTTTGGTTTCAACTAATCTAGCAGCTTTCTTATAAACTGGCCTACACGCCCTGGGTAGACAAGTCCTCAGAGCTCTATGTGTTTGCCAGGAAAGAATTAATCAGATCTCCGAAGTTCACACAAATTTGGAATTTGTTGGAAGGATCTCAGTGTTCTTGTTTGTCTGTTCATTCATGCATTCATGCGACTATTGAATAGATGTGTGTGCCAGGAACAGTGTTAGGCCCTTGGAGGGATATAGAATTGAAACTGGCATGGCTTCTGACCTTAAGGAATATTGTGTTCCTACTGAAGGAACTAAAGCCAGTATGTAGATACTATGCAGAGAGGCTAAAAGTAACAAGGCCAAAAGTTAGGTATGAATTGGATAAATGGAGTGTGGTGGGAATTCCTAGACGAGAGAATTACTGGGTGTATTTGAAAGTTCCCAATGTTTGAGGTAGGCCTTGCCAATCACATGGAATGAGGATGTGTGGAATGAAAATAAAAAGACCATATTGAACTGGAAGACACGTGTGTGTGTGTGTGTGATGCATTCACAAGCTCATGAGCTGCAGTTCTGTTCTTAGGAAGCAAACATTTTGGGTATAGATGCTGGCAGGGCGTCACAATGTGTTTGTGTGAGCACTGCATAGGTATTATGGGATGTGCTTTGTGCAGGGCTGTCTTGTGTGTATGTGAGTTGGGTGTACACACAGGATGTTGAGGGGACGCTGTATGTGGATGGTATAATTGGGTGTGCATTAGAGGTGTGAGTGGACTGTCAAATGCATGTGACATTTGACACATCATGGATGTTGGGCACAGTGTGCATTACAGGTATGTTGCGCGGTTTAGACTTGAGGATGTGCACGTGTTTTTGAAGTGCAGCAGGGAGACAGAATGGGGCTGTTGAAGGCATGGAAGAGCTGAGATAGGTGAGAAAAAAGAGTCACAATGAATACCCCACCCCTCCTTTCCTATTTCCCCAGTAGATCCTCCCTTCCCCCTACTCATTTGGGGAACCTCCCATATCCTGACCCTCAGATCGCAGGAAGTGGCTGACTCCACAGAGTCAATCCACTTGCTGGAGGGGGTCCTGGTGAGAGAGAGTCTGAAAGACCACAAGAACTAAAAGAAGGAGAAAGAAAGGTCAATCCCAAAGTGGCATTTGCCATGGTATTAACCAATTATTCATAGCACAGCCTGGGAAAGTGGAATGAACCTGCACGATGACAGCTGACATGCTGGGAACTTGATGCCCTGGGGGGGACTTGGCTGGGACAATGCAGCTGGAGTCCCTCCTCATGCCCCAAACCAAAACAGGCCACCCTCCTCTCTGCATCAAGGTGTGATTCCAGCAGCCAGGGCTATTCAATTATTTCCCTCTGCAAAGAGTTGCCATCACTCCACGCACATTTAAGCAGATCGCAAGCATCTACTGACTGTTTTTTGCTGGTACCTCTGGACTGTCAGTTAATAACCTGGAGTTCATCTTGCACAAATTGTAGAATTGGTTTATGTGAAGCAGAGAAATGATCCGGAGCTAGATGTCAGCACCATATCCCCCGGCAAGTTGCTACTCCTTTGATTTCAGAGATGTACCATGTAAGTCTTTAATAAAGTCCTTAAGACCAGTCAGAAAAGATGAAGCAGTTAGGGGACCCAGAAGAAAAACTAAGTAGGCAAAAGGTGAGTTGGGAAACTGATCAAATCCTAGCAAGCCCCAGGCTTCCATCACAACCAAAGAAGTTAAGGAGGTGACTTTGTGGTTATTACTTTTTTTTTCTTTAGACAGAGTCTCCCTCTGTTGCCCAGCTGGAGTGCAGTGGTACGATCCCACCTCACTGAACCTCCACCTCCTGGGTTCAAGCGATTCTCCTGCCTCAGTCTCCCGAGTAGCCGAGTAGCTGGGATTACAGTTGTGTGCCACCACTCCTGGCTAATGTTTGTATTTTTAGTAGAGACAGGGTTTCATCAAGTTGGCCATGATGGTCTCCAACTCCTGACTTCAGGTGATCCTCCCACCTCAGCCTCCCAAAGTGCTGGGATTACAGGCGTGAGCCACTGCGCCTGGCCAAGGTGACTTCACTTCTGTTGCACAAGCAATAAACCAACTGGAAAGAGGGTCCGTTTCCAAAGGATGCTACACACAAAGATGTTCATTGCAGCATTATTTACAACAGTGAAATATGGGAAGCAATGTAAAATCCAGCAATAGGAAAATGGTTAAGAAAATTATTCTACATCATATGTCATTTTACAGCCATTAAAAACAATGTCAGACAGGTGTGGTGGCTCATGCCTGTAATCCCAGCACTTTGGGAGGTTGAGGTGGAAGGCTTGCTAGAATCTAGGAGTTTGAGACCTGCCTAGGCAACATGGAAAATCCCTGTCTCTACAAAAATAAAAAAATAAAAAATTTGTTGGGTGTGGTGGCACACACCTGTAATCCCAGCTACTTGGGAGGCTGAGCTGGGAGGATCACTTGAGCCCAGAAGGCTGAGGCTGCAGTGAGCTGTGATCGTGCCACTGCATTGCAGCCCTGGGTGACAGAGTGAGACTCTGTCTCAAAAAATAAACAAACAAAAACCAAGAACCAACAATGTCTATGGAGAGGCTAAAATAATATTCATAAAATGTGACGTTCAGCAAAAAGATAACAAAGCAGGATGGTAACTGCTTGCATATCTTGTGGGTCATAACTATGTAAAATATAAATGGAAAAAACACACATAGAAGTTCTAACAGTGGTGAGATCATGAGCGATTATTTTGCCTTTCCCTTTTTAATGAATAGTCCAAATTTTCCAAAATTAGCTTATATTAGTTTTACAATAATATGAACCAGAGGTTAGCAAATTTCTTTCTGCAAAGGGTCATAGAGTAAATATTTTTGGCTTTGCAAGCCCTACAGTTTCTATTACGACTACTTAACTCTGCTGTTACACTGAGAACGCAACGCTGCACAAAACATTGTAAACAAATAGGCATGCTGTGTTCCAATAAAACTTTATATAAAAACAAGCAGGAGGTTGGATCTGTCCCATGGGCTATAGTTTGCTGATTCCTGGTATAAACCTAAATGAGACTTTCAAAAGTTATTCCATGTTCAGTGACATGGAATAATTGCCCTTTCATTAAGCCCTAACTATCGCCTGGGGAAAGTTGTCTTCCTAATCATAGGGGTGTTATGGGTCCTTAGGAAACGGTCCAGCCCCTGGAAAATGCATTTGACAGGCAGGGGCAGAGACACAAGGCATAGTTGCTCGTGAGGAACAGCATTGTCTCTCTCTGCCTGAGCTCTTACGTTCTTTCTCTTTGCCTGTTATTCCCTGTGTCTCCCTGTACCCCTTGTACATCTCCCTCTGCCCCTAACTCCATCAGTTCCAGGAAGAGGAGAAAAGAAGACAGGGAACTGGAGTGGATTGTAGGGCCAGGGCTGGGAATCTCGGAGAACGGGGAAGATGTCTCTGTCCCACTTACATTGGATTTGAGGTCACCGGATGCAGGATGACCTGGGGCGCCCGGGTCGGCGTCTCCGGCACCGGCACCACATCTGAAAACCAGAGATGGGACATTCAGAAAACAAATGTGAAGTCCACAACCCCCACAGAGGCCTGATTCCTGGGTGACATGGTAGCTAATTTTTCACCCGATCTTGGATCTCTGCCCTTGGCCAATCTCCTTTCTCCTTTCCTGGACCACCTGGACTCTACCTGCTCAGCTGGACCAGGGTTCTGGATGACATCCTCCACAAAATTCCTCATTGTTGAGTAGGGGGCTGCCAGAACCCTCAAGCATCCAGCCTGAAGCATTGACTGATCATCTCTGAATCTTCCTTTCTCCTGGGTTCCCTCTGGTATGATAAGGCCCCTTGGTTTCACATCTTCTCAGTACCCAGCTCAGGACCCTATGACCATCTCTTCCCTGCCACATGGCTCTAGACCCCTCCTCACCCTTGCCCATTGTTCACGGCACTCCACCCTCTCAGGCCTTTCCATGGTGCCTTGGGACCTCCTTGGGTCCCACTGTGCCCTTAGGACTTCCCACTCTTTCTTCTCCACTTCCATGTTCAGCCATTATCCTGGAGAGTGATGGCTCCACTACCACCCCCTTTGATCTTAGGCAAACCCACAACATCTGCCTCCATTCATCCCAGCAACTCCTGCAGCACAGCAGGGCTTGTTCAGAAGGGGCTGCTTCCAGCTCACAGGAAACTCACCTGGGAAGATGAACTGCTGCTTGTATTTGTAGTAGTGGGATGCTTGCAAAAGAAAGAAAACATCAGAGTGAGTGTCCCCAAGGAGACGTCCCTTCACGGACCAAATTGAGCTCTTACGGCCACCACACGGTCATTCTCTGCCCACCTTCAAGAGTTTCCACACTTCTGCAGACAAAGGACTGCAAACATGTGTAAAGAAACCAGAACTCTAAACATCCATGCCAACCCTCCCATCTGATATCTCACACTCCCTAAAATCAGACTACTCCAACTCAAACAGACATTCTGACTACAATACCATTTTTGTGAAATGCATAATTACACACACACACACAGAAGAAGTCTGCAAAGCCATAATCCAGAATATTAATTTTTCCCCCTTTTGGCAGAATGATTACAGTGGCTTAAAAAATCCTTCATGCTTTTTCTGTACTTTCCTAATTTTCTGCAATGAGCATCGTATCAGTTTTCTCTTTTTTTGTGGATGTAACAAATTACTACAAACTTAGTAAAACAACACAAATGTATCCTCCTACAGTTCCGGAGGACAAAAGTCTGAAATAAGTCTTACAGGACTGAAATCAAGCTTAGTTCCTTCTGAGGGCTCCAGGAAAATCTATTCCTTGTCTTTTCCAGTTGTTTGAGGCTGCCTGCATTTGTTGGCTCATGGCTCCATCACTCCAACTTCTGCTTCTGTTGTGCCATCTCCTTCTGCCTTTGACCTTCTTGCTTCCCTCTGATAAGGACTTTTGTGATTATATTTAAGGACTTCCCAGATAAGCTAAGATAATCGTCTCATCTCAAGATCCATAACTTAATTACATCTGCAAAGTTCCTACTGTCCTTTAAAGCAGCATCTTCCCAGATTCTGAGATCAAGACATGGACATCTTTTGGGAATTATTCTACCTACCACAAGCATGCATTAACTTCTGTATTTAGGAAAAAGTTACATAAAATAAATTTTCTGGACTTCACTGCTGGTTCCCTGACAATTCCTTTTACTTCTAATCTACTCGCCAGAGGCCAGGAGTCTTGGACACTTAAAGGTTTCTAACATGCTAATACTCCATTGGGGAACAGTGCCTGGAATAGGGGGTCAAGGGGTGTTGGGGGCAGGGGACACAGAGCTTTGTGTCCTCAAGAAAATGAAGAGGGCAGGGATATAGTCAGATGAGTCTGTATTGGTGAATCCACTTCCAGAAACAATTCGATGACATTCAGGGACAAGCCACCACTGGAACTGTTTTATCAAATATTAGCACAGTAGCTCAGAGCCTAGAGTCTAGAAGCTGATCCTGAATGGTCAAATATTTGCTCTGCCTTTGGCTATTTGTAGAGACTCCAAGTCTCACTGCCCATATGTGTAAAATGAGGATAATAACAGTCCCTTCCTCAAAGGGCAAGGACCATCACTACAAGATAAAAGTGTATTCAAGGTGCCGAATTAGTATTAGCTTTGAGATAAATAAACACATTTCTAAGCTCTCTTAACTAATAGACAAGAATGATTTATAACTAAGAGACAATCACATAGTTCCAAGTGCTAACTAAATGTTTTGCCTTGGGGAAGCAGATGGAACACTCTCCCTGAGGTTGAAATTTACTGATAGATTCCTTCAGGACGGGGATTAAGTCCTACTATGTCAGGACCTCAAACTCCTGGTTCTGTGCCTTGCACCATTCGGCGTGCAACATACATTTGTTGAATTAATCAACTCTCTTTATCATAGATGAAACAGCAAAAACCTTGGGCTTAGTCCAATTCCAGATTGTATCAAATAGTTGAAGTCCAGATGGATGCATTTTTGATTTTGGAAAATGAGATGTCCAGGGCAAGAAGCAACTTATTCGAGGTCACAGAGCAAAGCTTTAAAAGAAAAGCGCCCTCCATGATTTCAGGGACCGTTTTACTGTTAGATAACATGAGTTTTTCATTGCATGCAACTATTTTATTAGTCAACAAGGGGCTAAAATTAAAACAGGAAAAACTACCCGAGGCTCTTAAGAGGCTTGGCTGATCTTTCCCCTCCCCAGCTCTGACAGTGATGGGGGATTCAGTGTCTGGAGAAAACGTTCGCTGACAGCTATGTTCTTGTTGGGCAATGGAGAGCAGGAGCAGCTTCAGAGAGTCTGAGAAGGGACAGGTGTCAGGCAATGGGACACCAGCAAATGCCTCCACACCCGAAGCCAACGCCCTCCTTGACTCCTCCCCATGTGCCATGGAACAACTCGTTCCTGGTGACTGAAAGGGAAACACGTGGCCAGAAGAGGAGGAAAGACATTGTTGGGAGACCTGTTCTTCCTGCTGATGACAGACACCATCAAGAAGTGGCTCTAAAGAACAGCTGGTGACCTTGAGTGGGCTGCTCAGGAGAGCCCAGTGGCTCCTGGCTTTCTGGCATCCAAGATGACTCAGGACCTGGGAGGTTGCAGATGAAGTCAAAGAGACAAGCAGGCCACTTTGAAGGAGCCTCCCCTCCAGAGCCCCCATGCCTATCCTGAAGCCTCCCAAGACAGCAGCCAGAGTGGTCTTCTAGAAGGAAGGAAGAAAGGTCAAGTTGTTCTCTGTCTAAATCTTTCAACTGCATCCCATGGAGTCTCACATAAAATCTAAAATACTGCTAGGCCCAGACCCTGCAGCCCTGAGTCTCTCTGGAGGCCACTGTCCCTTGTTTATGGCACTTGGGCCCCTTCTTGTGACTGGGCCTTTGCCTTCCCCCACCTGCAGAACTCAGCCATCCAGTGACCCTCCAACCTAAATCTGTTCTCTCGCATTTGCTCAAGGACTCTTGCAAAGACTCTTGGCCATCACAGCCTTCATCACAATCTATAATCCTGTTTTCATGCATGTTTATTTGGTTAACACCTTTCTTTCTCACTAAGCTATACTTTTCATGAGAACTGGAGCTGTTGTAGGCAGAATAATGCCTGCCCCTACCCCCACAGCATGTTCAGGTCCTAATCCCTGGAAATTGTGAATCCATTTCATTACATGGCACAAGGGACTCTTTGGATGAGATTACTTAAGGATCTTGAGGTGGGGAGATAATCCTAGATCATCCGGGTGGGCTCGACGTCATCACAAGGGCCCTCAGAAGAGGGAGGCAGGGTCAGAGAAGGAGATGTGATCACAGAAGCAGAGGCCAGAATGAGGAGGGGCCACAAGCAAAGTAATGTGGGCAGCCCCTAGATGCTGGGAAAAGGCAAGGAGATGGATTCTCCCTGAGACCTTCCAGAATAAACCAACCCTGTTGACATCTTGGTTTTTAACCCAGTGAAGCCCGTTTTGGACATCTGGCCTCTAGAACTGTAAGATAATAAATCTGTGTGCTTTTAAGCCACTAAGTATGTGGTCATTTGTTACAGCAACAATAGGAAGTGAATACAGGGGCTACGTATGGTTTGTTCACTGCTCCAAACCTAGTGCCTAGTACAGTAGCTGGTACAGAGTAGATGCTTCATAAATACTGTTAACAAAATGAATGGATGAACACAGTCTGAGGGTCAAGAAGAAAATTTGAAGAGAAAAAACTGCAGCCCTGGGCAGTGCATGAAATTCAGGTCATTCATTCATTCAACAAACACTTAATGAGTGCCTTCAGTCACAGGCAACGTGTTGGGCTTTGAGTGTGCAGTGGTGAATGAAGACACATTGCCTAGTCTCATGCAGCTGGCATCCTGATGGAGGAGATAGACACTTAACAAATGAGTACGTAAACCAGATCATGGCACAGAGTGATGAGCGTAAAAGAGAGGCTCGGGAGAGATTGATGGAAAGGGGAAGGGAGGAAACACTCCCACGAGTCCAAGTGGCCCAAGTGAGGTCTCAGAAATCCTGCAAACTCCACCAAAGGCAGATTCCACCTCCTTTCTTCTCCCTTTGAGCCATTAGAATTTGCCATTTCCTGGAGTTGGGGGTATGTGTGTCTGTGTGTGTGTTTCAAGATGGCTCTAGGTGGCTCCAAAGAAAAAAAGTATTTGAGCACTCCAGCCTCAGAAACCCATACGACAATCATTTCCAAAGCCTCTTCATCTATCTTGCCATGGTGGTTGCCACCACAGCTCTGAACTGTTAGCCCCACGTTACTGATGAGAAACAGACCTAAACAGAGGCAGTGCCATGCTCAAAGCCACACAGCTAGGAAAGAGCAAAGCTGGGATCCAACCCCAGGTCTGTCTGTCCATGTAGCACTCTTGACATCACCTTATACTGGGCCATGTCCAGCATGGTCCCAGGACTCAGGGAAAGGCGGTTAACAGGAGGTCCACCCAGCTGGCAGTGCACAGTAACAAATACCACTGAGGTTGCACACGCCACGCTTGGGTTCTAACAGCCTTTTCACAACATGTCCTGAGGTTAACAGATGAGTTAAATGGCTGGTCAACCCCCCACCCCCTTTTGGACAAGAATGTTCTAGATGAATCAGTGCTTGGGACATTGTTATGCCTAAGCTTTAGCTTAAATAGCCTTCAGAAAACTCAACATCTGGCAGGGACCCACCGGCTAAGTTCCATTTTTCATTAACAGAAGCTCCCAGTCAAGAGTGGGACAGCCAGCCAGATCTTTGTACAAACAGGACAGGTACTCCTGACCCTGTGGCTGTTTTGCTAAAACTGCCTAAGGCACAGGGCATGTCCAACTGTACTTCCAAAGGTTCTATTTTGTTTTCCATTTCAGCACTGAATTTTATTATTCGATTCTAAAATGGATGCACACTCATACACATCATAGAAGTAAGTGCATGAGATAAAGTCCCTCTCCTTAATGGCTGCCATGAAGTTCTTCCAGACTTTACTGTGCACATGCGAACACATATACGCACACTGGTACACAGACATACATGTATGTAAATATTTTACAATCAATAGAATATTATACTGATGACTTTGCAAATCCCTTACTTTCTACTTGAGAAACATTACGGATATCTTTCCATGTCAGGAAATCTATACAGAGTACTACATTCCTTTGAAAGTTTGCAGAATATTTGGTTATATGGATATATGTGTGTATTCGACCATTCACTGCCCACTCTTGATGGGCATTTGGGTTAATTTCAGTTTTCACTGTTACAATGAAGTCCTTACACACAGATCTCTGCACCATAGTGCAAGTGTTTCTGTACATACATTCCTAGAAGTGATATACTGGTCAAAGAAATGCCCGTTTAAAACTTTAACAGGGCTGGGCATGGTGGCTCACACCTGTAATCCCAGCACTTTGGGAGGCCAAGGCGGGTGGATCACCTGAGGTCAGGAGTTCGAGGCGAGCCTTACCAATATGGTGAAACCCCGCCTCTACTAAAAACACAAATATTAGCCGGGTGTGGTGGTGTGCACCTTTAGTTCCAGCTACTCAGGAGGCTGAGACAGGAGAATTGCTTGAACCCGGGAGGTGGAGGTTGCAGTGAACTGAGATCGCACCACTGCACTCCAGCCTGGGTGACAGAGCGAGATTCCATCTCAAAACAACAACAACAACAAAAAAAACTTTAACAGAAAATGTCAAATTACCTTCCCCAAATGTTTAGTTCAGTTCATACTCCTATGTCAAGATATATTGGGATTTCATCTTTTATTCTACAATTCTGTCTAGGCCCCCATATTAATTAACAGTGATAATGAGAAATGCAAATAAAGGTAGCCATTGTACTTTATTATTATTGTGTTTAACAATAATCCAAGGAGCCCAGATTTGTTGAGGTCTTCAATGAAACTGTCACTCTGCTAAGCTTTGTCCATGTATTACGCCATTTCTTTCTAAAACAATTATCTAAGGTGGGTACTATTACAATCTCCGTCTTACAGATGAGAACACTGAGGCCCAGAGAGGCGAGTTATTTGTCCAACACCACGCAGACATTAAGTGGTAAAGCTGAGATTTGAACTTAAGTAGCTTGGCTGCAGAGCCCACACTCTAACTGCCATGCTGAAGTGCTTTTACCCAAAGGACCCCTTAGCTCAGCCCCCAAAGAGGGCCAGGACCTTGTCATGACCTGTCATGGAGCGGGGTGGGGGGAGATAAGGTGGTATGCTATAACAACGAATTTTCAGGCATCCCTCCTTGAAGACTCTGGCTGAGGGAAGGAAGGAGCTAAGGGACACCCTGATTACTCCGGGTTAGGCAGGTCTCTTGTCTGGAGACGCCAGCAGATTCTTTAAGGGATGAGAAGAGTTGTGGTGCTTTTGTGCACAGTTCTCCCATAAAACGGCCCTTCCCCTTCCTTTGGTCCATAAACAAGTGCCAAACAATTTGAGAGAAAATACTCCTGAAGTCAGGGTCTCCAGGGAGTGAAGTGGCTACTGGAAAGCATTGGGCCCACTTCCCCCAAGTGTGGGTAGTCATGGGAAGTCTAAGGGTCTTTTCTTCTCCCCTTCATCCCTTTCTGAAGAAGTAAAAATGAACAACCCTGGAGATGGTGGTGGGGGCCTTCTGTCTGTGGAAATGCCGGGCAATGAACCAGCGGTACTTACTAAGAGGATTCAGCTGGTGACTCACATGGCAGTCCTTGGTGGGTACCAGGTGAGTGGCCCCCACACAAGCTGGATATGAGGCTGTTAAATTCAGACTTGAACTTAACAAAAAACCCAAAGTTCCAAGAATTCAAAATATGTGCCATCTCTGTGGACGTAGCCTAAATCAAAACAGTGTCGACAGGTGCTGTGATTGGCTTGTCCTCGGATGGTTGCATGGGGGTGCTGCTCAGGTGTGGGGCGGGGCCTCCATTTGCCTCCTGGCCATTCACTCATGCCTGGTTAAGCTTCGAGGTGTGAGCTGTGGCCAAGGACCTGGGATTTTTTTCATAGTGTGAAGCCTGTTGACTCAGGAGGAAATCAGGAGCTAGACCAGAGTATCCAAGGGAACTTTCAGTGATGATGGAAATGCTCTACCCCTGATCCATTCAGTATGGCAGCCAACAGCCACATGTGGCTACTGAGCCCTTGAAATGTGGCTAGTGTAACCAAGAAGCTAATTTTTAAATTATATTTAATTTTAATTCATTTAAATGTAAATAGCCACACATGGCTAGCGGATACCATATTGAACAACACAGATGTAGACTCTGGTTCCAACTGACCATGCCAGTCCTACCAGCCTTCTTCTTGAGGCCAGCTGCAGTGCCAGAAATATGGCTGAGTTGGAAGCATTCTTAGGGCCCTAACACAGGAACTGGGCTAGGCTGGGCCCTGGAATAGATGGGGAGATTCTTAGGTCTGGTCTACCTGAAGGAAGAAAAATATCCCATTCTTAGGTCTAATGACAAAGAAGGTCAAAAAGCCACAGTGTCCCATGAGTTTCTCTACTATCATCTCATAGCCCAGTGCATACTCCCTGGTCAACAGCCTAGGTGCCTTGTAATTCCTGAGCTAGAGGAACCTTCCAGATCATCTTGTCCAACTACATCTTTTCAGAGGTGAGATACAGCAAGAATGCGATAGACTTGGATCTTGACTCCAGAAGTCCAGACTGCTCATTGACAGCCCTGTCCTCACACCCGGGTTAAGACTCAGTATGCAGCCCTGCTCAGACGTGTGCCCCTAAGATCTCCAGCACAGGATCTCGCTGCCAATTTTAACCAATTTAGCTCATAAGACAACTGTCAGCTCCAGAGTCAATGGCTCCCTTCTGTGACTTAGACTTAGGCGAAGACCCTGGGTTGTAGCTTGCCGAAACACACAGTCTCTAAGAGTTCCTGCACGTCTTTGAGCCTCTGTTTCTTCATCTGTAAAATGAGCTGATAATGCTTACGTGTGGCTGTTCCAAAGATTAAATAAGTAATATAGGGTAATTGCTTAGGATACAATAAGGGTCAGTCCACATACTTCCTTGCCCCTCTCTGGTCATCAATCCATCGCCTTCCAGCAGAGACTTGCTGTATCAGGACTCTGGCGTGAACCCACCCCCTCCCTAATCTTTGCCCCTCCAATGCTGCACACCCCATGTCTCCCCAAGCATGGAGGTACCTGGCAGGTTGAAGTTCTTCTGCTGCCGTGTGCACTGCGGGGAAGGGTGTAGGGGAGAAGGCGGCGTGGCACTAGGAGGGAGAGGGGGTGCTGGCGAGGAGGGCGTAGAGGACGTCGTGGAGGAGGGGTTGCTGCTGGAGTCTGGCTGGTAAGGGACAGGGATGTGGTCCTGCAGAGAGAAAACAGGGTAGGAGTCAGGGACAGGCAGGGAAGCAGAGACACAGCAGAAAGAGTGGGCTGAGCAGGAGAGGCCCCCACCCCAGCCCCTGCAACAACTCTTGCCCTTTTCTCAGCCACCAGATCCTGAAGCAAAGTCCCTCCTGCTTCATCAGCCCCGCTGGGCTGCATCCAGCTGTGGAAGGAACAGCCTCTGCAGTCGAATTCCTGTCCACTGCTTGGACCCCAGAGTGAAAGGTGACCGTGTAATGAAAACGACACAGGTGACAGCCACTCACCCTGTGCCTCTTTGATTCTGATAAACCCCATGCAGAGGTGTCCAGAGCACCCCTCCCAAACCAACACCTCTCCTCCCAAGTGTTTATTAAAGAATCAACAGTCTGACAGCTCCAGAGAGAATGTGAGAGGGAGCCCTCAGCATCTTAGCTCGGGTCACAGCTGGAACCAGCACTGCCTCTCTTCATGCCAGACCAGCTCAAAAACAAGGAGAGAGAAAGAATCCATGTGTGCATTTTCGGAATGGCCTGCTGGGGTGGACTTAGGAGCACAGTAGTGGGTTGAACGGCGTCCCACAAAAGACGTCCACCCAGGACCTCTGAATCTGATCTTATTTAAACTAAGGGTCTTTGCAGACATAATTTAAGGTAAGGATCCCGAGATGAGATCATCCCGGATTCGGGTGAGTCCCAGATCCAATGACAAATATCCTAAATCCAATGACAAATATCCGAATCATCCTGGATTCAGGTGAGTCCTAAATCCAATGAGACACATGGAGAGGGAAGTCACATGAAGATGGAGGGAGAGATTGGAGTGATGCAGACACAAGCCAAGGGTTGCTGGAGCCACCAGAGACTGGGAGAGAGGCATGGAACAGATTGTCCTTCAGAGCCTCCAGAAGGCAACCCTGCTGGCATCTTGACATTGAATTTCTGGCCTCTAGAACTGTCTGAGAATAAATTTCTGTTGTTTCAGCCACCCAGTTTATATTCTTTTGTTACAGCAGCACCAGAAAATTATTAGTATCAGCAGGATCCGGAGTCAGGAAAACCTGGACTCAAAGTCCACAGCCACCTCTTTTCTATGCATCCTGGGCAAAATGCCTAATCTTTCCATTCCTCAGTTTTGTCCTCTGTAAAATGGGAATAATGAAAACATTAAGTGCACAGGGCTGCATGAAGATTAAATGATGTGGAAGAATGGGAGGGAGGGAGGCAGGCAGGGAGGAACAGTAGCTGATATAGAGGCATGGGAGGCAGGGAGGCAGGCAGGGAGGAACAGTAGCTGTATGTATTTGCAGGCATGTTCTCCTGGAAAGTGATAGATTGGTGCTGCCTGAAGCTTGAAAAGCATTTCACCTCTTCGGGACTTTTTGCTTTCACCAGATGGCAAGAGATGAGCAAAAGCAGCAAACCTCCACATGACATAAAAGGGATTCCTGCCTCTCAAAGCCAGTAGAGCTAAGTATTCCCAGGGGAGGCTTCATCTGTTCACCCACAGGACCGTGGTCACTTGATCCCTCCATTACTCAGAGGTCCACTACTCATGTGGACCAGGTACCCAAAGATGCTTTAGTGTGGTCAACAGGTAGGCTTATCTGCCAACTCCAAGAATAGGTGTGTGAACACCCAATAGCAAAGGAGGTCAAGGGCAGAAGGGGAAATGGACATTCTCTGTCTACTCAGGCTTACTGGGTGTCCAGCCAGGTTGTACATTTCACCCTCCCAAAGCGTACTCTACTGCCACTAGATCCACACTGCTTCTGGGTCAGTGAGTCTCTCTTTATCCCATTTTGTTTGTTTGTTTGTTTTTTTTAGATGTGGTCTCATTCTGTGGCCTGGGCTGGAGGGTAATGGCATGATCACGGCTCACTGTAGCCTCAGCCTCCTGGGTTCAAGCAATTCTCTCATCTCAGCTTCCTGAGTAGCTGGGACCATAAACATGAACCACCACGCCCAGCTTTAAAACACTCTTTTTTTTGTAGACACAGGGTCCCACTATGGTGCCTAGGCTGGTTTCAAACTCTTGGGCTCATATGATCTGACCCTCCCACCTCGGCCTCCCAAAGTGCTGGGATTACAGGTGTGGGTCAATGCGCTCGAACTCCTTATCCTTAACATGGGCTAAGAACATCCACCTTGTAGGTCTGTTGTGAATTTTAACGAGTTATGTATGTACCTACCTCCTTTGTATTCAGTAGAGGTGCTTTATCATCAATAAATGGTAGCCATTATGTTAATGATAATATGTTTCTATAATTAAACTTTTTATTTTGAGATCATTGTGGATTCACATGTAGTTGTAAGAAGAGAGAGATCTTATGTTTCCTTTGCTCAGTTTTCTCCACTGATAACATCTTATGAAACTATAGTACAACATCACAGCCCAGATACTGAACTGATACAGTCAAGATACAGAACAGATCCATCAAAACCAAGATCCCTCATGTTGCCCATTAACAGCCATACCCATTTCCTGCTCTCTCCTCACCATCCTCCCCCCATATTTAACCCCTGGCACCTCTAATCTATTCTCCACATCTGTCCAGTATAATAAACACTAGTTGTATGTGGGATTTTTTTTTTTTTTTTTTTTTTTTTGAGATAGAGTCTTGCTACATTACCCAGGCTGGTCTCAAACTCCTGGGCTCAAGCAATCCCACTGCCTCAACCTCAATCCCAAGTAGCTGGGATTAGAGTTGTACACCCTGGTGCCCAGCTCTATTCTCAGTTTCTATAATTTTATCATTTCACTGTTTTATAAATTGAATCATACAGTATGTAACCTTTTCAGACTGCATTTTTTCACTCAGAATAATTATAAATTCATCCAAGTTGTTGCATGTATTAATAGTTTCTTCCTTTTGATTGCTGAGTTTCTTCCTTTTGATTGTTGAGTAGTACTCTATGATATGGATATATCAGAGTTTGTGTAACCATTTACCCACTGAAGGACATGTAAGTTGTTTTCTATTTTTCACTATTGTGGATAAAGCTGCTATAAACATTTATTTACAGGATTTATGTGAACATATGTTTTTATTTCTCTGGAATAAATGCTCAGAAGTGTAGTTTCTGGATAATATAGTAATAACATGTTTAGTGTTAAAAGGAAATGCAAAAACTGTTCTCTAGAGTGGCTGCTCCATTTTACACCAGCAATGTAGGAATGACTGATTTTCTCTGCATCTTAGCCAGTGTTTGGTGTTGTCACTATTTGTTATTTTAGCCTTTCTAATTGGAGTGTAGTGATATCTCATTGTGCTTTAATTTGCATTTCCTAATAGCTAAGATATTGAACATCTTTTCATGTGCTTACTTGCCATCTGTATACCCACTTTGGTCTTGATGACTGTATCTATATAAGAAGTCTTGAGATCAGGTAGACTGATTCCTCTCACTTCATTATTTTTCAAAAGAATAAAGCTATTGCAGATATTCTAGTTCCTTTGTCTTTTCACATAACTTTTAGAATAATCATGTCTTTACTTATAAAAAATAATGTTTCTGGGATCTTGATATAAGTTGTGCTAAACCTATGTATGAATTTTGAGGAGAACTGACTTCTTAACTATGTTGAATCTTCCAATCCATGAACATGGTGTGGGTATCAGTTTCCTAGAGCTGTTGTAACAAAGTACTATAAACCGAGTGGGTTAAAACAACAGAAATTTATTCTCTTACAATTTTGGAGGCCAAAAGTCCCAAGTCAAAGTATTGGCAAGGCCGTGTCTCAGGATCCCTCTGAGACTTTAGGTAGAATCCTTGTTTGCCTCTTCCTACCTTCTGGTGGTGGCCAGCAATCCTTGTCATTACTTGGATTGCAGCTGCATCACTCTAATCTCTGCCTTTGTTGTCACATGGTGCTCTCCTTGTGTGTCTCTGTCTCTCTTCTCCTCTTCTTATAAGGCCGAAAGTCATATTGGATTAAGGAACCATCCTTCCAGTACACCCTCATCTAAACTTGATTATATCTGCAAAGTTCCTATTTCCAAAGATCACATTCACAGGTCCTGGAGGTTACGACTTTAGCACATCCTTGTGGGGAATACAGTCAGACCCACAGTGGTATCTGTCTCCGTTTCTTTTGATCTGTGTTTCCTTTCACCAGCATTTTGTAGTTTTCAGCGTACAAGCCCTATACATGTTTTATCAGATATACACCAAAGTGTTTCCATTTTGTTCAGCAATTGTAGATGGCATGTTTCTAATTTAGTTTCCATATGTTAATTGCTAGTATATAGTAAATATAACTGATTTGGGCCAGGCACGGTGGCTCGCGCCTGTAATCCCAGCACTTTGGGAGGCTGAGATGGGCAGATCACAAGGTCAGGAGTTCAAGACCAGCCTGGCCAATATAGTCAAACCCCATCTCTACAAAAAATACAAAAATTAGCCAGGTGCAGTGGCACACACCTGTAGTCCCAGCTACTTGGGAGGCTGAGGCAGAAGAATCGCTTGAACCTGGGAGGCAGAGGTTGCAGTGAGCTGAGATCATACCACTGCACTCCAATCTGGGTGACAGAGCGAGACTCCATCTCAAAAAAAAAAAAAAAAAAAGAAATATAACCAATTTGTATTGATCGTGTATTCTGTGACCTTGCTGAATTCACTAATTAGTTCTAAGAACTTTTTAAAAAATATGTTCTTTGGGATTTTTGTATTTTCTTTGGGATTCTCTACATAGATGATGATGTCATTTGCAAATAAGGACATTTTTATTTCCCCCTTTCCTATCTGCACGTCTTGTTTCCTTTTCTTGCCTTAATGCATTGGCCAGAACTTCCAGCACTGTGTTGAATAAGAATGGTGAGAGTGGATGTCCTAGCTTGTTCCCAGTTGTAGAGGAAAACATTCAGTTTTTCATCACTAAGTATAATGTTAGCTGTAGTATTATTTTAGGCGCTTTTATCAAGTTGAGGAATTTCCTCATTTTTACTTTTCTGGTTTCTTTTACCATGAATGGTTGTTGAATTTTGTCAAACAATTTTTT